TGGCAACTACGGAGCAGAAACAGCTGAACGGATATGCAGCTCAGTGGGAGCTTGTCGAGTAGTAATAGTTCGTCAGTGAGAGTACCGTCCTTGTCTCCGCAGTCATCGAGGCGGCACACTTCCTCGATTGTGTTCCCGGAGAAACGTACTAAGAAGCATAAAGCTTTCTCCAAACGCAGCGAAAGCCCTATCACGGATGATCAAACTGATAAAACCAAAAGGGAAGAGCATCGGATCGATATTGGTGGAGGGGATGAAAATTCGGATTTGCTTGGCTATGCAGTTTACTCAGGGAAGCTCATTCTGGATAAGAGAAAGAATATCCCTAATAGTAATAATTCCTCCGATGTAGAGCAGGATTCTTCTACTGATATAGCCAACCAAGAGGCTGTTGCTGCTAAACTCACTAGCAAGGCATTGATTTGGGGTTCACATGTATTGTCACTTGATGATGTCATCTCGGTAAACATTTAATCCTCTAGAATAGATCATTCCAATGAATAGGATTTATTTTTGGGTTTTAGTTTGCAATCAGTCTGTTCAGTATCTTTATATTTGACAGGTATCCTACAATGTTGGTGTTAGACATTTCACTGTGCACTCTTACCCTCTAAAAAAGGCTGCTTGTGGCTTTTCGGGATTTATTAAACCGAAGAGAAGGCGAAAGGAATTTTGTTTCTTGGCTTCTAGTGTAGAAGAGGCAGTTCAATGGGTTGGTGGGTTTGCAGACTTGCATTGTTTCATCAATTGTTTGCCTCACCCTTTAGTTTCTTCGAAGAAGCAAGCTTCTTCTGAATTGTTTCCAATGGATACTCCTCCTGAGCTTGTGTTCAGATGCAAGAATACACCAAAAATGCTTGTGATATTGAACCCAAGGTCAGGTCGGGGCCGTTCCTCCAAAGTTTTCCATGAGATTGTGGAACCAATATTTAAGGGTTCTTCTTTTGATAATTCCACATTAGGTATGGACTCGGTTCATTGGAATGGGATGCCCTTAATCATGATTGCCGTTGTTAGTTTGTGGTTCTCTTCCTGTTCACCTAATCCACCCATAAAATGATTAAAGTCCATAATGTACTTTCTCTTAGGTGAACATGTATTGATGTTTCTCTGTATCTTATGATGGTGCGATCTAATCTCTTATTATTATATTTCTCTGTATAATGATCTTTAGTTTTGTTGTCATTTTTCCATAGATTTTTGCTTCTTTCACTTTTTATATGCCTTCTTTTCTTTCTCCTGTTATTCTTGTATATTTTTCAAGAAGAAATTATTCTAGACCTTGGGCTGTACTGAATTTTCATGTCGTATATGCAAACTGTGACAGCTTGCTGGATTTAAATTGGAGGTAGTCCAAACAACATCTGCTGGTCATGCTAAAAAGCTGGCATCTACTGTTGATATCAGCACATGCCCTGATGGTAGTACTACTTGAATATCTAATTACCTGTTCGAATTTTGCTTACATTTTTAATGATTTGTCATTATCATCTTATTCGTTAACTGGAATCTAAATCACTCTACTTCCTTTCAGGAATAATATGCATTGGTGGTGATGGGATTGTAAATGAGGTTTCTGAATTCTAATTCTTGTTTCCCTATTCATTTTTTTTCTAGAGAATTTTTGGTCAATTTTTCTAAGGGTGCAAGAAAAAACTAGGCACTAGGACCTTTGTATCATCCAAAGTGCAAGGTGCAAGAAAAGCACTTGCCTGAGCAAAATAAGGAGCATATAAATATTGAATATTTAATGAACTCAAATGATTGTTCTGTGTCTAATCAATTTCTTAATTACAAAGATTAATCACCATAAGTAACTAAAAGTCGTTATCATCAAACAAAAACTATATGTTCACTTTAATGTTTGCTTGAATAATTACCACGTACATCCCGCTTTTTTTCATTGTTCTCTACCTCTTCAAAAGTTGACGGGTAGTTAAAGCCCTTTTAACTTTGAACTGTATCTGACTTGCATTATAGTATAATTCCTTCCAAGACCTGCAGTACTTTACCGTCATCAGATTTTTCATCTCCATTGTAGGGGTTGGTGAGGATTTTATGGTACTAGAAGCATCGTTTTAGAATGTAAATCTTCTTTTGTTCTTTGGGTGTTGAGTTTTATTCGGTATTCTACGGTATTCTACTGGTGTTTCTGTTTTTATCATTAAGTTTCTTGATCTTGGTAAATGTGTAGGTTCTAAATGGTCTGCTTTGTAGAGACAATAAGAAAGAAGGAATTTCTATACCTATTGGAATTATACCAGCAGGTTCTGATAATTCATTGGTTTGGACTGTTCTTGGCGTTAGAGATCCAGTCTCTGCCGCAATTTCTATTGTAAAGGTAATGCTACTTGCTATTCAAGACGAGATTTTCTTTTCATGCCAGTTATTCTGTTACTTCTTTCATAGATTGATTTGTAGTGTTTTCCAAAATCAGTTTGATCCATGCGTCTGAAATTGTCTAATACCCTAACATGTTGTGAATACCACATTTCTTTTCATTGTTGTATCAAATTCCTACTTGCCTTTTTGTTTCTTTACAATTAAGCTTTTGTTGGTTTCAGGGAGGTCTAACTGCTATAGATGTTTTTGCTGTTGAGTGGATTCGGACTGGTGTTATTCACTTTGGGATGACCGTCTCTTATTATGGTTTTGTGAGTGATGGTATGTATTGGTGATCCTGGTTAACACAATGGAATTCAGTTGGTTTCTATATCCAGTCAACCTCTGTTCTTTTGAAATGTGTTCAATCTATGTTTGCTTCATTCTAGCATACCTTGGCATCTCAACATGTGCCTGAATATTGCTTGCTATGATGCCTGAATTTTAAGCGTGAGTTAACATCTACTTACTATGATCCTTTAAAATGATTTGAGCATTCATCCTCTTATATGGGACACTCATGTAACTGGCTTTTAAAAGGGTAACTGATTTTCTTGTTTATCATTTTTTGCATTCCTTGGGTTCAGAAAAAGGCTATTTCTGTACTTCACCCTTTGCTATTTTCTCATTCTCACAAGTTTGTGTCTATAGTTGAAATCACGCCAGAAGTTCTCGTAGACTAGCCATCTTTGCGACTTTTGTTTGAACCTTTTGGTTTTAAGTTGCCTAAGGCACAATTAGATTCAAAGAAGGTATATATATAAAATGTTTGAATGAAGAAAACCTTTTAGGTGCGTATATGATGCTTCATAAAGTGTCTTTGTATGATTGTCTCCTAATATGGGAATGATAAACTGTATGTTTGTATCTTTTTCTCATGTCTTGCAGTCTTAGAACTTTCTGAGAAATATCAGAAGCGATTTGGTCCACTACGATATTTTGTTGCGGGGTTCCTAAAGTTATTGTGCTTGCCAAAATACAACTATGAAGTGGAGTACCTCTCAGCAGCAAAAGAGGATCTAGAAGGTAAAATCTCTACTGATAGGGAGGTAGTCGACTTGTCAGATCTTTATACCAACATTATGAGGAGGTCAAACACAGATGGCATACCCAGAGCCTCTAGTTTATCTAGTATTGATTCAATAATGACTCCCAACCGAGTGTCTATAGGTGAGATGGACACATGTAGCACTCATGCCAGCACCGAACAATCCGAATATGTGCGTGGCCTTGATCCAAAGACTAAACAGTTGTCATCTGGGAGAAGCAATGTAACAAATGAGCCTGAAGTTATTCACCCTCAGTTACCACTGTCAACAATTCCAAACTGGCGAAGGACCAGGTCAAAATCTAGGACAGATAAAGGATGGAGCGGATTGACTGCTGCTCCTGATCCTTCTAGATGTTCTTGGGGTAATGCTGCAACAAATGATAGTGAGGATATATCTTCGACATTGTCTGATCCGGGTCCAATTTGGGATGCTGAACCAAAATGGGACACTGAAGCTAATTGGGATAAAGAAAATTCTATTGAGTTACCAGGGCCACAAAATGTTGTTGATTCACGAATAAAGAAGGAAGTTGCCCCAAGATTCGAAGATAAATGGATTGTAAATAAGGGACCATTTCTTGGCATCCTTGTGTGCAATCATGCATGCAGAACGGTGCAGAGTTCTCAGGTGGTGGCTCCGAAAGCCGAACATGATGATAACACCATGGATATGCTCTTAGTTCATGGGAGTGGGCAACTTCGGTTGATTAGATTTTTCTTGCTTCTACAGATGGGTAAACACCTTTCACTGCCATATGTTGAATATGTCAAGGTAAACACCTTTGTTCCATGAACAATCTTATATATCAAATATATCAACTTAGTCATTGCACCCATAAAAGTTCATCCAAGTTCAGGAATTTTGTTAAAATTGTTGATGCAACTGGTTTGAACATGTGTTTGTTGGTGCTTCACATTCGGAAAGTTATCCCTTGCTCTTCAATTCATTTTAGGGGCATTTAATAGGTGTTTTATAGACTTTTAATCCAAAAGTTAGATCAGTGAATAATGGGTCCTATATGCATAAATATCAACGGATGATTTCAACCATCTAACTATAGCTTCTATTAAAAATGGCAGGTAATATCAGTTAAAATTAAGGCTGGGAAACACACACATAACGGTTGTGGCATTGATGGTGAGTTTTTCCCCCTTAACGGAGAAGTAGTGTCGTCATTGCTTCCAGAACAGTGCAGACTAATCGGTCGGTTCCCTGGCCATCATGTATGATGCCCAAGAGACGTTTTCTCTAGAAATGTTCTTTTTGTCATATGTAGGATGCAAATGCTTTCTTCTAGACTCGCAGCTTGGGAGTGTCGGAGCTTCCTTGTCCAGGACAAACATTTGGTCTGATACTATAGTATTTCTCATGCTAAAACTCCTCCCATTTGTGCCATTACATACTGTTAATCTCTTTTTTTTTGTCTGTTGCTTGTTTGTTTGCTTAGCTCCATGGTATATAAGATTTTCTTCTGTTTGTTTTCTCTGTTAGCTTCTAAATGTACTGGATCAGAAAGAACACTTGATTTTATTTTATGCCCGTGTCTTAAATTCTTTTACTATATAAATGATTACAAAGAAGGCTTAGGGTTTGAGAATAAAAAAGAGTTGTTTTAGTGGGATTTTGTACTCGCATTCTGGATATTGAACAATCTTGAATAGACACCATCACTTACAGATACGAGTGTTGAGTGTGAACCAATCTCCACAATCTTCCCTTTATCCATCACAACAATCACATCCGAGTTCACTACTGTGGATAATCTATGTGCCACTGTAATCTGTGTTGGACTTGAAATGAACCCAAACTTACCCTTTCTTTCATCCACCGACTCCAGGGCTTTTACTATGGTTCTTTCGGATTCCGAATCGAGTGCACTTGTTGCTTCATCAAGAAGCAAGATTGCAGGCCTCTTTAGTAAGGTTCTAGCAATGGCTATCCTTTGCTTTTGCCCACCTGAAAGTTGGCACCCCTTTTCCCCAACAAGTGTGTTATATCCATCAGGCAAGTTGCTTATGAACTCATGTATGTTTGCTTCCCTTGATACCTCCATGATTTCGGCCTCGGAAGCATGTATGGTCCCATAGCAGATGTTGTCTCTTATTGAGGAGCTGAAAAGAAGTGGCTCCTGTTGCACCAATCCAATTTGTCTCCTTAATGTCCTTAGATTATATTCCTTTATGTTCTTATCATCCATGAGAACCCTTCCCTGGTTCGGATCGTAGAATCTTAGTAAAATGGCTAGCACAGATGATTTTCCAGCTCCACTTGGTCCAACAAGTGCTACTTTTGTCCCTGGTTCAATTTGCAAACTGAATTTGTTGAGGACAGTCACTTCTGGCCTTAAAGGATAGTTAAATACAACGTTTTGGAATTCGATTTTCCCTTTGATCTTCTGTTGATGTGTATCCTCTGGTGAATCAGGTTCGATTTCGGTTCTGCGGTCAAGGGTCTCGAATACAGGAGTCAGTACATTGATTGCGGAAATGACTGCTGGGATCAATGTCCATAGTTCAGTGATTGAAGGTACTGTGAGGGAGAAAATCTGGTAAGATCTTATACCGTCTTCGAACCGAGCTTGGTTTTTACTAATCAAAACCGTTGTATACCATAAAGCAACAGCATGAGCAATGTTCCATAAACAAAGGGAAAAGCCTTGAATGATCCCATACTTGATACTTTCTTTCCTGCTCCTTTTCATTGGCTCTTCCAGGGACATCCTGGCTTTCCTCATTATGTGTTCTTCATAGCAAAACGATGCAATGGTTTGTATATTGGTGGCGGACTCGGAAGCAAGGGCGACAACTTCATCGTGGCTAGCAGCAGAGTCACCGGCAAATCCTTTGGTAGATTTGGCCTGAATGAGTCCGCCAATGAAGTGGCAAGGCATCACTGCCCAAGCTACAAGAGCCATTCTCCAGTTAACAATCAAGCTAACAACTGTTGCGATCAGTATCGAGGAAATACATTGGACAATAACCGACATCCGATCGGAAATTATGGTTTTGACCATGGAAGTGTCGTTGACGACCCTTGACGTAAGTGAACCAACATTGTTCTCCGGTTTCTCGAACCATGCTAATTCATTTCGTAGTATACCTACATGAATTTAATGCAACAGATGTTAGCGTGTGGATGACAATGAAGTATTTTTCAATATTTGTTGATGGGATAACTAGTACCTGAAAATAGAGCTTGCTTGAGATTTCCCATGGCCTTTTCTCCAACAACTCCATAGAAATAATGCTGCAGGGTATGCATGAATAAAGTAAGCAATCCTATGAGAGAAAAGGCAATGGAATACCTTCCAACTATCGTCTTTGCATCTTTGTTGTAGTATGCTAGTCCCACTGTTATGATGAAGAATCCGAAAAAAGGCTTCGAAACACCTGCAAAAGCTGCTGCGATGGAACCGGTTGCGATATTTTCAAGCTCTCTTCTTCCTAATCCAAACCAGATTCTGAAGAATGTAATCATGGTTTTTCTCCTTTTCTTTCCCTCGTCGGAATAATCACTAAGATAGTCCTTGAGATATCTTTTTTCCTCCTCTCTCTCTGTGTCTAGTGGTGAAAACTGCTCATTGGCTCTAACAAAATCCTCTGAGAATTCAGTAGCCCTGTCATGTCCCACGCATTCCGAGTAGGTTAAGAGTTTTATAAAAGTGGATGTAACTCAGGGTATGGGGAAGGCCATTTATATCAGTTTTTGAATTTCAGACCTATTGGATTTAACATCTTAAGATTCGAACCTCGAACCTACCTTGACTCATGCACTTGTCCGATGTTCTGAATGCTGAACAAATTTTTGTAGAACTTGTTAGAGTCTAACAAGCTGCGGTGCGTTCCGGTTTTGGTTACTTGTCCATTCTCCACAACTGCAATTATATCAGCATTGATAATGGTTGACATCCTATGTGCAATCAGAATAACGGTCCTCCCTCTCATAGCCTTCTCCAAGGCGTCTTGAACCAGTTTCTCTGACTCGGAATCAAGCGCACTTGTTGCCTCGTCGAGTAAAAGAATAGGAGGATTCTTTAGAATAGCTCTTGCTATTGCAATTCTCTGTTTCTGTCCCCCTGATAACTGGACTCCTTTTTGGCCTACCTGCATGGATTTTACATGACAATAGAGCCTAAAACCCATACAAAGTAGTTAAAACGGAGGTTAGATGGATAACCTCGGTTGAATACTGATTTGGAAGTTGAGTGATAAAACTATGTGCATTCGCCATTATGGCTGCATCCCGGACGTGTTGATCGCTTGCATCCATGTTTCCTACTTTGATATTATCCTTGATGGTTCCAGAAAAGAGTGATGGTTCTTGGGATACTGCTCCGATGTTCTTTCGGAGGAACTTCAAATCGAGATCCTTGATGTTATGATTGTCAATGAGAATCTCCCCTACAATGTGCAAGCACGATTTATTAGATAGAAACTTTGCTTGAATGAAAACTGCAGGTATTTGCATAAGAGAAAATGCAAACCTTTGGAGGGATCATAGAACCTTTCAACTAAGGAGATAACAGTACTCTTTCCACAACCACTGCTGCCTACTAAAGCAACCATCTTTCCTGCTGGAATTGACAGTGAAAATCCTTCAAGGATCAGTTTTTCTGGCCGAGAAGGGTAAGCAAAGTATACATCAAGTATTTCAATGTTTCCCCTGATCTTCCCAACTTTATCCTTCTCCCTTGAATCATAGCCTATAGATGGCTTTCTTCGAATCACCTTGAAAACCTCGTAGCCTGCAGCCTTTGCTTGATTGAATATTTGTATGTCTGGTGCAGCAAAAGTAAGTGATCTGCAAGTTTAAAGAAATTGGTATCACATATATGTATGAATACATGGAGACCGGATTGAAACAGTTTAACTCGGGGTCTTTTGTTACATGGAACCGAAGAGAATGCTCATCACAGCGGCGATAACGTCACCACCTTTAGCTTTCCTGGAAGTCACTGCAAGAGCTCCAATCCATATGATCAGAGCCCAAGCACAAAAGGTCACAGATTGCAGCATGCCGGTTCCAACTCCTTTCATGAGTGCTTCTCCTTTGCTTAATAAGAACAGCTTCTCCAAGCTCATGGAGAACGATTTAATCGCCGAATTCTCCCCAACAAATGCAAATACTGTTTTTATTTGAGAGAGAGTCTGTAGCAAATAATCCTTGCATGTTATCAACTGATATTAACTTAAGTATCATACCTATTAATCATCTTACCGGTAAAACTTATATATATGGAATGAGAATGTTTTACCTGTTCCACCATGGATGTAGCTTCCGATATGAAAAGCGTCTTAGTAGCTGAAATAGTATTCATTTTCTTAGTATAGGTCCCTCCGATAACAAGAATGGTAGGGGCAACCACCAAGGTAAGAAGGGAAACTTCCCAACAGCATATGACAGCAATAAAGATTCCACAAAAGAATGTTGCAGAGCTTGAGAGAAAATGGCCCAGCTGATAGTCAAAAGTTAAGTTAGCAATAAATACATACAGACATAGATTCATGCATACATATATACATACTATCTACCTTCTCTCCTATTGCATCTTGTATGACACTCATGTGATAACTTATTCCACTAATGATTTTCCCACTTGTTATATCTGTATCAAAGGCTCCAATCTCCTGGCAAAGCATTGCTCTCAAATATGCTAACCGTAATCGTGCCATTTGTCGTTCACTTGCATACATCCAGCAACCAATCTCTGCAGAAGGCTCAAGATCAAAAGGATGAAGCAAAAGAAGGGAGTTCTAGGGACCCATTATGGTATTATATACATACATATGTATTAAGCTGAGGGTAAGATACCTAGTATGCCAGCTGGGAATGTAGCAAAAGCCATGTACCATACAAAGGGAACAACCTACACAAACAGACAAAGAAGAAAGTATGTTCATAATCTAATTTGAAGTGGTCTTCAAATTCTAAGCTGTTGCATGCAGTTTGTGGTGTATATGTATACTTTCTTGAGTGCTTTAACCGTGCCATGATTGTCGCCGAGGTTGTCCCCGAACGCATTGAGAGCTTTTCCGAGCAGAAGGTATCCCACAGGTTGAGCCATGCCATGGATTATGGACCCTAAGGTCCCTAACGTCATAAGAGTCCAATCAAGAGCATCTGCATAGCTCAAAAGCATATAAAATGGCAAAGCTTTGTGAGTAGCCTCCACAATCTTCTCATCTTCTTCCTTGTGTTTATCTTCTACATGGGTTTTCGGAGCCATCGGCAAGTAAGTGTGAAGTGTTGAACCTTGAGGATACTCTTCAACTTTTTGCCTAGTCGATGTAGATTTATAATACATGTTGTATAGGAAATAATGTATTGCATCATAAGAGACGGAACATGTAATGGATATGCCATGGATATGCTTTAAAGTATTAGAGTGAAGTGAATTGTTCGACTTGTTTTCTCTTTGGAATAACCCCGTATTTCTGTTTTTGCATGGCGTGCCTGTATGACGCATACAAGCCATGTACATAAAGATTCCTCGTAAAATCCCAGGTGGACCTGCAAGTAAACAAGTTGGAATATTGAAGAATACAAATATTGGAATTGGAATCAGTTGAGTCGTGAAGTTAAAAGTTGAAGACGGCTGTCTAACTAATTTGTAAACTTTAAAGTTGAATATATAATAATATAGATTTAAATAATTTATTTTCTTATTTTTAAAGAAATGTAATGATAAATTTATTATTATAGTTCATATTTAAAAAGTTTTAAAGGTTTTCAAATTAGGTTTGTAATTTAGAATTTTTCGGCTAAACGTTCAAAAAAATGGGTAAAATAATAGTTTTAAGATCTAATAATACTTGCCAACGAGATTGGTTTAAGCGGTAAGCGGTTTGTTATCGCTTAAGGTCTCAAGTTCGAGCTCTTGTGTATGCAGAAAATTCCCATAGGAGACTCATCCACCAAAGCCAAGTGTACGACCTGAGTCGGTCCATATTAATCAAGACAAAACCTTGAAACTGGAGGACAACCATAAAATTTATAATAATCGTCGGTTATGATTAGTGATAATAAATGGCGGTTGACTAGTGATGATTAATGATAATAAGTAACGGTTGACGATTAAAATTTTAATTGAATTGAAGGGTTGAATAAATATTTTATTCAAATTTTAGAGATTAAATTAGTATTTATGTAAAATTTAGAATCCAATTAATATTTTTTTTAAATCTTAAGGATAAGTTAAATTTAACCATTTTTATTAACAACTCGTTACACACAAACTGACTCCCTTATTGACCAAACTAATAACATAAGTGATCAAAACGTAATCGTTTTCAAAATTGGTGACCAAATTAAGACATACCAAAAACAAAAAGGATCATCGGTGTAGTTAACTCGAAATATAAAGATAAAAATCCACCGATATGTCTCCGGTCATACAATGAAGTTTTTCCACAATAAAGTTTTAACCTGGAATAGAGTTTCAATAAGCATACAAGATCATGAAAGCAACAACAAAAGTCCATTTTAAGAGTTCATCAGTGGATGCTGCTGCAGACTCTAAAATATCATTACTTCACAATGCAGATCTTAAAAACCGAAGCGGCATCACCGGGCTTGCATAACCCCTTCACCGTAGCTGATTTCAGTGCGGCTTCCAAGATAACCTCGGGGGATTCGGCATCGGTTGCCTTTGCCGGGCCTTCTACCAGTATAGGAACCAAGACCCTACATATCAGACTGCGTCTAGCCGGCCGTTCGTCGCTGCAGGTGTTGAAAAACAAGGAAAATGCTACAGAATGGGCCCACCACTTAAAACATAATAATAATAATAATATATCCACCATAGGTGTACAGGTCTCGTACATTCCGAGTCACTTTTACAATGTGTGAATTTAATAGAATTATTTAAATATATTTTGATACTTTTACAATTAATTAGATCTGACAAATTTGATCTAAACCAGATTATTCGAGTCAATTTACCCAACTTAATATCTGATATTAACCTAAATATGATAATCAAATTTGATCTGATATCTGACTCATCCTCGACCCAAAATTTAGCAGAATCGAAAGAAACTCGAATCGAATTTTAACCTGATCCGAAAACAAACCAAATAGAAATTAATTAGAATCGAATAATAAATTAACCTAAATAAAATTGATAATTTATAAAAAAATATTAGATATATAATAAAATAATAGAAAGTTTACTTATGTTTTTACATAAGATAAATATAAAAGTAAGAATCTAATTATAAGATTTAAAACAGTAATAAATAAAGTTTACTTATATTACTTGTAATAAAAATATTAAATTTATAATAAAAAAACAACTAAAATAAAAAAAAATAATATTAGATTTATAATAAAAATAATATAACATTTACTTTTTACTTATGTTATGACTAACACTTAACAAATAAAGTTATGTATTATTTTTTAAGATTTAATAAATATTTTAAATTCATAATTGGAAATAAAATTTTTAATAATTTTTTCTTTATGAAATAGTTCTCATTATAAAATTTTCATATAAGATCAATATAAAATTTTGATAACAAATTCTAACACGTATTATAAGATTATATTTGTGTCAAATTATCGATTTATCATCTCTAAAATGTTGGTTTAATTTAAAATATTGAACGATTGATAATTGAGATTAGGCCTAAATGATAAGATTAACAAACAATAAGATATTTTTTACAAGAATATATCAATAATTTTATATATACTTGATTAGACTCATAATCAATTCATTCCAAATTGACCTGATTTAAAGGTTGACCTAAACAAAAAATCAACCAATTCAATATTGACCATACCCAAAAATCAACTGATCCAATATTGATCCAAACCCAAAAACAACCGATCCGATAATCACTAGCCTCGAAAATTGACCTGACCTAATACATTACCTTATCCGATTTACCATACACCCGAACTAGATCCGAATCACATCCGATCTGACCTGAACAAAATTAAATCGAATATAATCTAGAGCCGAAATGACCCAACCCGAAATGACCCAACCCAAACCCGATTTGAATGACCCGTTGCCACATCTACAATTAATTTTAAATAATATAAAATGTAATTATAATAAATAGATGAACTTATTAAGTGACTTTAGTCCTTAAATGGATTGTTATTCTCTTTAGAGATTTTAACTTCGAACAGCTATGTTTCCAGATATGAGTACATATATTACGACCCAGTGGCGGATGCACTAAGCCCCACAGAAGGCCAAGTGAATCCCTATTATTTAGGAGAAATTTTGAAATTTAGTTAAATATATTAAGAAAAAATTTAAAAAATTTAAAAAAAAAACATACCCATTACTTTTAAGAAAACAATATTAAAATTTTAGACTCCATTCTTAAATTTTTGGATTCGTTACTATTACGAACGATGACTTAATTGACAATAATTTAATAGTTAAGTGATCTAATTGAAAAATAATAATTCACTGACCAAAATAAAAATGACCCTATAGTATAGTGATTATCTACCGGTACTTTACCCAAAGAATTATTATTTGATACATTGCCGATAAAGAAATTTCCACATAAATCCTTAACAATAGTGACAAGTGTTGTTTTGAATCTTCACATATTTTTTGAAGAGACATCATCCATCACCTTAACAGTGTTTGTGGAATCATTTTCCTCTACTGAGAGTGCACCAAATACCTATCCAAATATAAATATAATTAAAGCTATATAAAAGAACCAATAATTCAAATAGCTCTACCTTGAACCTAAGACTTTAATGGTGTCAACTGCCAAAAGCTTTCTTGTGGATGACCAGCATGGTGAAAAAGTTGTAAATTTCAAAAACTGGTGCAATTCGTTGTTACCATCCGACATGATAACCTTTTGTCCTCCTCCATTACTCATAAAATGCAATTTTCGATACTTACAATGTCGTCGACACTCGCCATCATACCCGTTTCGGGGGCACATACTGCACATGCTCTTCTTCACAGAGAGCCTGTACAAAGGAAACAACAACAATCAATGATGGAAATGCACGATTTGCTAAACCAAAAAAGCAATCGACTTCGAAGTCGAAACTTTAATAAACAAACTAACTTTGATATAAACGGAAACGGTTGCGAGCGTATGTATTAATGTTGAGCTGCATTCTAGTAAAATTTGATAAGATAACAGCATTAGCTGCTGAGTTCCTTGGTGGTTTCATCATAAACACCAGAAAGATAGCTAGAGGCAAAAATTCAGTCAATATGTTCAATTTAATTTGTCCATTCCAATTGCCAGAACCAAAATCATCAAATTTATAGCACATACGTCAAGCAAAAACTTAGAACTTATTCCAAGTATGGCAGTGCGATTCGCAGAGACGATGACACACTAATAGCGGAGAGAGGAAACTGAACATTATCATCATAGATCTAATGATAAAAGGGACTTGAATAGATCACACCAAGGCAGCAATGTCTACCTTACTAATACACTAGGAAATAAAAGAAACTAATGAAGAAACCATGCCTGCATATCTTCTGGAAGTGCCTCTGAAACTGCAAGTGTGTAACAGCCGGGGACAAATCTTCCTGAAAAGGGTTTAAAGAAATTTCATACCCATGATTATATAAGAATAGTATATAGCAAATTACCATTATCATATAGTTTCCAAAGCCGTTAAAGCAAGGATAGATGTAACAGTAAACAATAGAAAAGCAGCAAATTATAAGCATTTCCCCCCCCCCTCACCAACACAAGCAGTTTCTAATTCATTTCCAACAACAATGCTGAATTAGTATATCATACTAGTCTCGATTATGCATTGAAAGAAGTCTCTTAAACTTTGAAATAGTTATTGGAATAAGTATCCTCCCGATGGGACTGGCATAAAATTTTCATGTAATTTAGATATTTTATTCGTATTTTCTATTGATGATATGTTTTTGCTCCTTACACATTTATAAATTCGCCCCGGCATAAAATTCTGTATCCATTCCAGTGCATGACACCGAGAAACGGAAAACTTTGAAAAGATATAGGATAAAAAAACAAAAGTTAAGGGTTGAGCATACCAACTCGAAGCCAACGAGCAGCCCAGCTTCTAGAGGGGTCCATCACAGAGATCATCCTTAAAGAAAACCAATCAGAAAATCATATTAGAAACAATGCTGAAAGATATGAACAAGAAAGTTTCATTTAACAGAAATGTTAATGAAAAGGAAAGATACCCATTGAAATTAGGAGTGGTGCAATCGACGACGCGCTCGTTATCTCCATCCATCTTAAAGAATGGGCAGTTTTCGCATCCTGATTCTCTGAACTGTAAATTTAAAAAACAAAAGGAATTAACTACAACTACTCGGATATGAAACCCTGACTGAAAACGGGAGAGCGAAAAGAACCTGATCGTATGTTTTGACGAGGCGGCAACGAAGGCAAGCCCTGAGCTCGTGTCCGAAGCTCGTCGGGATTTGTGCCGGTGCGCTTCCCATTGCTCTTCCGTTTTCCTTCTTTAAAAAACAAGGAGAATTTTCGTTAAATTTTTTAATAGATTTTTTATTTTTCTTTCGATACATAATATTAATGGTCATTTATGTTTGATTACTTTTTTTTCTCCACTGATATCTCAAACATTAATAATTTAATCACTAATATTACTGATTTATAATGAATCAACCACTCGTAGCTAACAGCCATTCATAAAAAACCAAACCATTCATAGATAGTAACGAAATACTGGTGTGACGTGTTAACTAATTGACTTAATACCATTTTATCACTAGTTCGATTCCCTGTACTACTAAAGGCTATAATTAAAGAGAGAGAGTTAATTTTTGTTGATACCTTCTTACTAGTAACTAAGATCATATTTGTTCTCTCTTACTTCCTACTTTTACTTTTTTACAGAAAGATTCAATGACAAGGGTTTATATGGCTCATACTGGACATCACATTGATTATTCAGTGCATCACTTGAGTTAATTTTTCCTTCAGCCAAAGAAAACTGATTTAGAGGCAGCTTTAAAGAAGAATCCAAGACAATGCATTATGTTAAATGCCTCAAATAGTTGTTAACTTGTACAACATTGTGACTTAGACTAAATTATATGTCCAATGATTAGGAGATTTGTGACAAAAATTTGTATACAACTCGAAGAATATGTGATCTCTTGAAAACAAAAAAATTATATTTGGTAGCACAATATTCTCTCGAGTCCAAGTATAGAAGCACTACGATTACGGCGACAAAGCACGACTTGCTAATGTCGTAACTGATTTTTGCCCGGTACCATGTTTTTTTGGGAAAAACCATTTTCAATGAAATATTTTGAAATCACCATTGATATTTTTTTTGATTAAGTAGATCGAATATCTAAAAATTGTCTTTTAAAATAATTTTTAAGAAAATATTATTTTAAAAGATAAATCAGTCTACGTGTAACCAGAAATTCATTATTTTTAGTAATAAAAAGGGATTCGGAGTCGATTATAAATTTTTAATAGCGAAAATCTAAAAATTTGAATATAAATTTAATTTATGATCCTATTATTCCAAATTCAATAATTTTATGTAACGAAAATTTCTAAAGAGAAATATAAAATATTCCAATATTTCCAATAGAAGAGAAAATAATCCCTAAAATATTTTAGGACGAATATTTCTCTTTCCAACTAAAATAATAAGAATATGATAATTCCTCCCAAGAACTTAATATTAAAATAATTTAATTCAACCAAAATGAACATAACTAAAATAGACATACTTGATTTTTGTAGGTTTTCTTAGTATGGTATTTATTTATTTTAAAATATCAGAATAAGATACCTAATTACTTTAAGACGATCTTTTCGTAATATTTTTTTTAAAATAAAATAAATATTGTCTTTAATCCAATTATGAATCTGTCGAGTTATGCTTATGAGAATTTCATATATATTCATAGGGCTAAAATGAAATGAACAAAAACTAAAGCGCAATATTTAAAAGACTAAAATTGAAGTATCGAAAAATGTAAAGCAAAAATAAAAAATAAAAAATTAAAGTAATGAAATTAAAGGACTGAAATTAAATAAATAAAAAGTAAATGGCATCTATGAAAATATGAAGTAAAGGATTAAAATAAAATATATCAGAATACAAGGCCCAAAATAAAATATTTCAGAAGATTAAAAGATAAAATTAAAATGACGAATATAATAAAGTAAAGAGACAATGTTAATATTAAAATAACTTGAATATAGATAAATGACCATAATATAAAACAATTAAATTGATACGCATAAATTCGAAATAAAAAAACAGAGAAATCAAATGACTAAATTGTAAATATGCTCATAAATTAGAGGAATTATTTCATGGTTTTCCCTATTTTAAGTGACTAAAATATAAAGATAAGTTAAAAGTTTAGGAGGCTATATGTAATTCAACCTTTGATTATTGACCAGGATGTAAATACATGCCTAAACTTTGAGGACCTAAGATAACTAACCCCTAAACTAGTGACTAAAATAAAATAAAAAAGATAAAATTAAGGGGACCATTTGGAGATTAACCCATAAAATATACGAACAAAGCAATAAACTCACAGAAATTGGGGACCTTAGACGTTATTTACCCAAAGTTTAAAACAAACAAACTCCCTTTTCTCTTTATTTATTTCCAGTAACGTGAAGGCCAAAATATCTTTCCTTCTTTTCTCTTTCATTTTCTCTCTCCCAGAACCACGAAAGCTCATCAAAGCCCAAGACTTTCAACGTCGGCCACCACGCCGGTGGCCGTCAAACGCTCCGTCCGGCGACCTTAGTAACCGAGGAAGGCCAAGCAAGGTAAACAACTCCTTTCTCACTTTACTATTTTTTATTCGAAAAGAAAAATGAACAATGAACAAAAGGTTACTATAAAAATATAAAAAGGTAAGACCTTTCTTCTTTTTGGAAATGTTGTTGTATTGACTTAAAATGGGTGAAAAAAAAATCCTCCCCTGTTACAATCTGATTTTAGGCTTTTATAGTCCCGATTTACAGCTGAAAAATAAATAAAAAAATTGCTGCTGTTATTTTGTGATTTACTGATGAAGATGTTGGGATGTGGAGCGTTGGGAACCATGGCTTGGTTGGGGTGCTGGCAGCTGCTGGAACGTGGACAAAGGGCAACCATGGGTTGCTGGCGGCGTGGGGGGACAGCTGGTTTAGTGGAAGCTACTGGAGAGCTGCTGAAACGTGGAGGACCAGCTGTTGTTGGTGGAAGCTGCTGGAAGGCTGCTGTGGTGGAGGGACAGCTGTTGTTGAAATGCTGGCAGCTGCTGGAGCGTGGGCAAAGGTAAAAATGGTGATTACAGCTAATATTTTGTGACAGTAAAGCAATATTGCAAATAACGATTAATCCTATGTTTCATGAATGCATTAAACATGTTGAGATTGATTTTTATTTTGTTTGAGAGAAAAATATAAGAAAACGACTGAGCATGTGCTGTTAGCAAAACAATTAGCACATACTATGAAAATGACTATATGATATCAAAGTTGAAAGTTAAAATTGTGTTTCACCCACCAATTCGAGGATAAGCGTTGAAGTTAAGTAGTTAGAATTAGTTAAATAATTTCTTTAATTGATTAGCATTTAATTAGTAGCTAGTTCACTTAGTTTTCAAATAAAGTGTTACTACTTCAATTTCAATAAATTTGTCACAGTTCGACTTTTATTAGTTATCTTTTTAGAAGTAGGTTTAGGATTAAAACAAGAAATACCATTGCACAAGATTAGAACAAAGTATTAGAAGGTTGATCTCATACAAATTGCACTACTTCACCAGATTGGAAGTGATGGATGGGATAAAGAAGAGCCTGCAATCTGCAATCACTTCACCTCACAAGCCCAAGGCTAAGGACACCCCAAGCACCATGCGGCCAAGATTTGTCCTTGGCCTTAACCAACAAAACTCTTGCCCACGCAATCCATCCTTCCCATGACATCCTCTAGTCCCAAGGACCCCCCCACTCCAACATCAATATCACCCCCTTCTCAGCCTCTTTTTCACCCTCCTCATACCTCCCTTTGCTCAAATAAACCTGAGCCAACACCACATGCGGCTCCCCCACAAATGGGTTCTTTTCACGGCACCTTAACGACAACTCCTCGGCTCAATCCTGTCCACTGCAAATGGCTTCCCAATACAAGTCCCTTGCCTCCACTTGCTCCTTCGCCTCCAAAACCTTTGTACAGTTCTCAAACACCGGTGGCACCACAAGCTCAATATCATCATCAATGTCATCATTAACCCTTTTTTTCTCGTGTGATTATGGCTTCGTCTCTTACTATTAGTGTATAAACAATGCCCATTTTCGATATTGAGTTCATCCTTAGGCCTGGCTTGCCATCTCCTGGCCATAAAGCAGCATAGTTATCTACCATGAACTTTCCATCAAAATTATCAAACAACTGATCTTGGTAGCCGAAGAATTGGTCACCATAATCCGCCATGCTCAACAAGAGAAAAACACCCATCACTTTTCTGGTGACCAGAACATCTTCGCCGCTCTTTATATTCTCCACCACAATCCCATCCTCGGTAAAAGAAGTCGCAGCCTCTTCCTCCATGGTTCATTTCCATCGAATATACCCTTTTTCCGTGGCGTTCTTCAATGAAGCATCTGATAACTTAAGGTGTTCGATGAGTTCGGAATCGGAATATATGAACAGAAGATTGTCGTGGATCATGGTTTGACGTGGGACGACGCAGAACAAGTGGATCAAACCCTCTGCAACCTCACCGACATGGCCTCCAACAACGTCTCGACCGGTAGATGCGTCGAAGATAGCGAGGTTTACGTAGGCGTTGGAGTAAGCGGAATGGAAGAGGCCACAAAAGCAAACGAAGTTCGGTGCTTTCCATATCTTTAGAATACGATATACGTCGACCAAATGCTCCAGAAAGCTGCCATGTTTGTGGGAACACTAGCCGGAGCCGCGGAACGTAAGACGACGATCAATGGAGGTAAGTTTTTGTCGACGGATTCGAGCTCACCTCGGAGGAATGGAGGAACGGTGTCTAAGAGGGATTCGAGGTATCGAGATTGGGAAGAAGGCATTGGAACTTGGAAGCGAAGGAAGAAGTATTAGTGGGGTTTTTGGTTAGAAGAACATTATCTGGTTGTCCATAAATCATATATTTTTAATGGATTCTATCAAAGTATATGTGATCCCATTTTTCTGCAATTAAAGAGGAAGGAAAGTTTTAGAATTGTCAGATGAGATTCAATCGTTTCTTTTGTCCCATTCTATTGTAAGTTCCTAATAATTGTTAGATTTTCTTTTTCCTCTTTGGCTCGTTAGGAAAATGGCACGCGACACCAATGCTTGTTAAGAAAAATAATTTTATTTTTTTAAATAAATGTCATGAAATATTTTAAAACTAAAATAAAGTATAATGATATTTTAATAAAAAAATATCTCTAATATTTGATTAAATAGTTCTTAATTATTTTAAATAATTTTGGCCTCTTTACGTT